ACCCGAACAAAGAACAACCAAGGAACTTAGCCAAACACATCTAAACAGACGGTTCGGCACCACCAACCAGACAGCAACGACCAAACTACCACCGTCACACGTCTTCCCAGCAGACCACACATCACAGAGTCTGCCTGGTTCCAAAATAAATAAAAATCTCCTTCAATAACATCCAGATGCCAAAAAAAAAATGTGCCGCTAATTCATTGAGCATCCATCTTCACAGAACAGGATACAGCGAGCTGTGTTGAACGATTGAAGCCAATGGTCATTGCGGCTTCAGTTCTGGCAAATTCACCATTGACCAGATTTTCACTCTGCGCCAGATCCTGAAAAAGACCCACGAACAATTGGACATATTCAACCTATTCGTCGACTATAAAGCCGAATTCGACAGCCCTATCCGTTCAGAGGCGTTTAAAGCCATGTTTGCTTTCGGCATTGCTGCAAAATTATTACAGCTATGCAGGATAACTTTAACTGGCACAAGGTGAGAAGTTAATGTCGGAAAGAACCTATCTGAGCCTTTCAATATCGAACGAGGATTCAGACAATGTGGCATTTTGTCGTGTGACTTTTTTAACATCCTGCTGGAAATAGAGCGTTGAAATCCGGAGGATAATAATGTTGGCAAACAGATGCTACTATGGTCTTAGAGTTGTTTTGAAGGTCTTACGCTAGTTTTTCCAATAGAATTTACTGGCATTTGATTCTCAGAGGGTACCAAAAAATATTCTGAATGGTAGAGGATATAAAAAGTTGGCCTCGATCGATCTTAACGCATACATACTTATTTCTCTTCCAACATTTTCGCTATGTACTGTTGACATTCGCAACATATGGCAACCATAGATATCTGTCATAATTTGAAATAAACTTTAATTTTAATCAAAGCTTTAAATTGTGATTGCAAGGCTGCTCTTTAAGATATACGACGATAGTTCATTTAAGTTTGGTTCCAGGACATAGCAACATAGAAGGGAATGAGATTGCCGATCTGGCCTGAATTCTCTCGCAGAAGAACTTCTTCGCTGCTGTCCCATAATAACAGAGAGATTAAAATCATTGTGGGGATCATAACAGGTCACTGCCGGGACACCTCACCTGTCTATGTGAGGACGAACAGGAGCTATAAACAATTGATGTCTATAGATGTCCAATAATCTAGCTTTCTTCTTCAAAATAGAGCCCAATCAGATCATAGGCTTTGTCAAGAATTTGACATGGCTACAGTAACCAATTTTCTAGGCTCTCCAACTCCGACAATATTTCCTCTCTTCCACCCTTTTTGTCTCTGAGTAAACGGTTGCCAATTAGCAACCGCACATCCCTAACCTTAATCTTGAGTCACTTCTTGTACGGATTTGTTTGTACAAGAAATGACTTAAGATTAAGGTTCCAAATAAACTTTTAGGTATAATATTAACACATTGGTGTTTCTATATATAAAAATTATTCGCATATGCAAGTGTCGCATCAAGGCGGAATAAATACAAATTATCAACGTACGACATTTGTATAGCCACATATCCCAATATGCCTGATGAGCCGCTTAACCAACGGCGAAACGCGTCGCATAATGGTGGGTACGTAGGTTCTTCTCCTGGCTTTCCTTTTCATTGCAAAACTTAGATCATCAAGCTCGATTCGAAAGAGTATAAATAACCACTTAAAAAAAATTATAAAATAAAATATAAAATAATTAAATCTTACCTTCCCAACATATACAGGATAATGCAGGCGACCACCATCAGCACGACCAAAAATATCAAAAACTTATTGATATAAATTTCACTTGATGCGGACTTATTTCCCGTATAACGGCTATTTAGCTGCAACTTTGTTGACATCCCCGTATATACTGCACATCCTATAACCTTTTCCGTATTCTTAACCTTCGATCCGCGCAACAGAAGATTATCACTTGTCAAAGGCAGCACCATTGACGTACCATTTACCTCAATTTTTCCATTAAATTTATATAAGTCTGTACGCGGACTTTCACACTCAATCACTCCCAGTCGATTTAAATCCATTAAATAGTTGATCTCCGGTAGACCTCTCGGTACCGTTAATGTCTTCAAATTTGTTTCACCATCCAAATTGGCAGTGGTAACAAAACATTTACCACTCTTATCGGTCGAATGCAATAAAACCACATCACAGGGTACATCACAATCGGAACGAACTACGACCAAATCGCCCGGGCATACATAACGAGATTCAATTTCCCGCTCCTGACCATCACGTAAAACGGTAACCTTTGAATAATTCACCAAGTTATCATTTTTATAACGTTGATAATCTTCATGGGCCTCCTTAATGCCCGTCACAATCATAACAAACAGTAGCGGTATCAATGAGACCATGGGTGAAAGTGTACTATCTGTAATTAAGGCAATTATTAATAAGATTGTACAAATGCAAGTTTTCTTTAATCGGGCCAATACTTACTGATGAAAAACGATATAATGGTCACTACCAAAAAGTAAAAATATACCGCCCTTCGAAATTGATCGTAAAAATTGATGGGTAAAAATGTTAGCAGAGTATATTTGGTGGTCTTTATACGATTTAGCTGCTGAGATTTTTTACCACTTTGTGTGGCATTGCCGCCCACCAGTATGCGGAGATTTTCTGTGGATTTACTGCTACTTGAACCCTGTTTAAAATTTAAATTCATATTCAAAATTGCTTTTAAATATTTAATCACTTTAAAACATACCATTTTCAATTTATAATTTGTTCCTCAAATTATCCAATATTTTCTTTTTATTAATTTAATTTCATTGTTTTATTTCGGTTTTTAACTAATCGACCACAAACGATCTTTAATGGCCAATATTAACTTCGCTACTGAATATTTTTCCGCTAATCAGTCGATGGGTTCACATTTCACTTGATATGCAACTCAATATTGAATTGTGTTGTGTTGTGTGTTGAGTTCTCAGTGTTTTAACGATAAGGATAGAGTTAAAGACATTACCGTAGACATGAGTATTTTGGCAATTATTGTTTTAAAAAATATTGTGATATGCTAATTCTTATTGGGACCCCTATAAATAAATATGTACACCATTTCACTACAAAGAAATAAAAAAATCTATAATAATTTTAGTTAATACTTATGGTATGGTAACTCTAGAAGCGACCTGGCTTTCATCTGATCAAACAACGAGAAATCAAATTGAACATGTCTGATACGGCTTTAACATGGCGTAGCCCAGGCTTATCTTGGTCCCTCTTCCATCTCAATTGTGGACACTGACCTCCCCGCGGTGTCACCTGGGGTAGCTATTTTTAGCACCCGTAGAAATAGTGAGCTTATATGTGCCGCGAGTTCACCCATAAGAACTATAAAAAATGGGTTGAGGCGTCGGGTTAGTTGCCCACACTCGGGAAACCCAACCTACTATGAAAAAGCAAAGAAAAAGAAAACCAAACCACCTTAAATCTGACGGCCCCTGCGAACGTATAAAGGACCACGATCTGCTAATCTGAACTTGGAATGTGAGCACGTTGTACAGAACAGGCGCAGTTTTCGCTTTGTTGGATGTACTCAAGAAGTACAAAGCCGATATTATTGCCTTACAGGAAATGCGATGGAAAGGGACTGGCGTAAGTAAATCAGATGATTACGCACTGTATTATTGCTGCCATGAAACGAGACATGAATTTGGCTGCGGATTTATGGTTAACAGGAGAATAAAAGACCTCGTCTCCAGATTTACCCCAGTAGATGAGCAGACCAAAGACATATTTTACGAGCGCCTAAAAACAGCATATGGCCGCTGTATAAAGTGAAGTTCATGACATAAAATTCTGCTAGGAGATTTTAATGTATAAATCGGAAGGGAAAATATCTTTGGCCCACCGTCGGAAAATTCAGCCTTCATGAAGAAACATCCGACAACGGCATGAGGTTGATTGACTTCGCGGCAGCAAAAAACATGGTATCTCGATATACACAAGGCCACCTGGCTTTCTCCCGATCAAACGGCGAGAAATCAAATTGATCATGTTGTGATAGACGGAAGGTATTCATCCAGTCTTTTAGATCTCCGATCGATGCGAGGAGCGAATATCGATTCGGACCACTTCCTTGTAGCAGCCAAGGTTCGCACCCGTCATAATGTAGCAGCGAAGGTGCGATCAAATGTAACATGGAAACTCGACATCGAAAAGCTGCAAACACAACAGGTAGCAGAGGCCTACTCCGCTCAATGCAGAGTATGAGGCAACCCTGCCAACAGTAGCTACACCTAATGCTAGAGAGAATTATCGGGAGAAAAGTAGAGAGGAGTAACGTATTTTAAGAAAAAATAATAAAGAACAAGAAAAATTTTCAAAATTTTCACTCTGCGCCAGATCCTGGAAAAGGTAAAATCGACATAATGTGTCGAACATTGCGAGCGGTAACAGCTATGAATGAACAGAATGAACCATGAGTTGTGCCATCTATAGAACACCATGGAGCGTTATATTGCCTATTGAAGATGAGGTGTTCCATTGTCTATAGACTACCATGAGGTGTTATAATAACTATAGAACACCATGAGGTGTTTTATAATGAACACCATGTAACGCCTCATATTGTTCATTAACCACATAGACCACTATGAGTTAAGGGACCATTCAGTATATTGACGATTTTGATCGCAGCCTGAATGTATGCTAAGATATTAAATTTTATAAAGAATTTTTCCTTTAGAATATGGATCATTTCACAATAGACATAAATATTATGATTCCTTAATTTAATTTTTAGTAATTATAGTGCAAAAGGTCTTTGCTTTCGCCTCTATAATAATAAACAATTATAAATTTTTAATTTTATATTCATTTATTGAATATTCATTTTTCTTTTCTTCTTTTTATTACAAAGTAATAAAAATATTTGTTTTTTATATTTATTTTCATTTATACAATAAAGGAAATATTCCAAAAATACTAGTGAATAAAATTTGTAGGCGTATATGTTAATATAAAAATAGTATTTCAAAAATTAAAACTAAACGAAAAATAATTAATGCAGTTTATTTTTACACAGTGGTATAATGAGCTTTGCAGTGAACTGAAATGAAAAAACAATACAAATTTTGATTAGAATATTAGATAAAAATATAATGAACTTCAATAAATTACCTATAAATTCTGAAACTGGATCATTATCACCCTCACCCCGCATGGTACCGGTAATTTCTTCATTTTCCACCATTGGTAGAAATAATTGTACAAATTCTGATGAATATGGATGTGTTATGGTCTCCAAGACTTCGGTTACAAAATATCGTATTAACGAGATGTCGGTGTCACCTTTACCCCAACATTGTTTAATGTATTTGACCACGGGCACTACACACCCCCTCGTTAGTAGATTAACCATACGATCAAGTAACATTTTCTTCATTTCTAGTTGTACTAAAATTTCCAATTCATCTTGTTTCGATTCGAATAGACGTATCAGTAGGGTGAGAATTTGTTGATGCAGCGTGGGATGCACAGCAGCCACTTCATCCAAGATGGCAAGATGTGTCGGGCAACTGTCGGTGGAAAGTTTAAAGTATGAAGGTTCGGTGACTGTGTTTTCTATCCAGCGTATAACACCCACACCTACCACGGGGAATCTGAAAACAAAACACCGGAAGGCGTTAAAGTATGATAGAAATAAGTTTATAAGTATAAACTTACTTAATGCAATTGTATAGTGTCTGCAGCTCAGCTATTAGTTCCGTTGACCCCTTGTTAACATTGCATATGGCATGCACCTTTTCTATAGCTTGTATTGTACTTTTCAGTTCATCTTTATTAAGAACTCTATCGGTAAGAGGTCTTTTTTTCGCCGGAGTATCCACCACGGAAGCTGCATAGGCCAACAAGAAAATATATTTTGATTTATGTTCCGGATTAATTTTCACTCCCGCTTTGAAGAGAGAATCAACCAATAATTCTAAAAATTGTGGATTTCTTATAAGATCAATTGGCGGCGGGTCTGCCCCAGAATAGTTGCGATAAAGTACAGTTATATCAGCTTCATGAAGAAACATCCGACAACGGCATGAGGTTGATTGACTTCGCGGCAGCAAAAAACATGGTATCTCGATATACACAAGGCCACCTGGCTTTCTCCCGATCAAACGGCGAGAAATCAAATTGATCATGTTGTGATAGACGGAAGGTATTCATCCAGTCTTTTAGATCTCCGATCGATGCGAGGAGCGAATATCGATTCGGACCACTTCCTTGTAGCAGCCAAGGTTCGCACCCGTCATAATGTAGCAGCGAAGGTGCGATCAAATGTAACATGGAAACTCGACATCGAAAAGCTGCAAACACAACAGGTAGCAGAGGCCTACTCCGCTCAATGCAGAGTATGAGGCAACCCTGCCAACAGTAGCTACACCTAATGCTAGAGAGAATTATCGGGAGAAAAGTAGAGAGGAGTAACGTATTTTAAGAAAAAATAATAAAGAACAAGAAAAATTTTCAAAATTTTCACTCTGCGCCAGATCCTGGAAAAGGTAAAATCGACATAATGTGTCGAACATTGCGAGCGGTAACAGCTATGAATGAACAGAATGAACCATGAGTTGTGCCATCTATAGAACACCATGGAGCGTTATATTGCCTATTGAAGATGAGGTGTTCCATTGTCTATAGACTACCATGAGGTGTTATAATAACTATAGAACACCATGAGGTGTTTTATAATGAACACCATGTAACGCCTCATATTGTTCATTAACCACATAGACCACTATGAGTTAAGGGACCATTCAGTATATTGACGATTTTGATCGCAGCCTGAATGTATGCTAAGATATTAAATTTTATAAAGAATTTTTCCTTTAGAATATGGATCATTTCACAATAGACATAAATATTATGATTCCTTAATTTAATTTTTAGTAATTATAGTGCAAAAGGTCTTTGCTTTCGCCTCTATAATAATAAACAATTATAAATTTTTAATTTTATATTCATTTATTGAATATTCATTTTTTCTTTTCTTCTTTTTATTACAAAGTAATAAAAATATTTGTTTTTTATATTTATTTTCATTTATACAATAAAGGAAATATTCCAAAAATACTAGTGAATAAAATTTGTAGGCGTATATGTTAATATAAAAATAGTATTTCAAAAATTAAAACTAAACGAAAAATAATTAATGCAGTTTATTTTTACACAGTGGTATAATGAGCTTTGCAGTGAACTGAAATGAAAAAACAATACAAATTTTGATTAGAATATTAGATAAAAATATAATGAACTTCAATAAATTACCTATAAATTCTGAAACTGGATCATTATCACCCTCACCCCGCATGGTACCGGTAATTTCTTCATTTTCCACCATTGGTAGAAATAATTGTACAAATTCTGATGAATATGGATGTGTTATGGTCTCCAAGACTTCGGTTACAAAATATCGTATTAACGAGATGTCGGTGTCACCTTTACCCCAACATTGTTTAATGTATTTGACCACGGGCACTACACACCCCCTCGTTAGTAGATTAACCATACGATCAAGTAACATTTTCTTCATTTCTAGTTGTACTAAAATTTCCAATTCATCTTGTTTCGATTCGAATAGACGTATCAGTAGGGTGAGAATTTGTTGATGCAGCGTGGGATGCACAGCAGCCACTTCATCCAAGATGGCAAGATGTGTCGGGCAACTGTCGGTGGAAAGTTTAAAGTATGAAGGTTCGGTGACTGTGTTTTCTATCCAGCGTATAACACCCACACCTACCACGGGGAATCTGAAAACAAAACACCGGAAGGCGTTAAAGTATGATAGAAAAAAGTTTATAAGTATAAACTTACTTAATGCAATTGTATAGTGTCTGCAGCTCAGCTATTAGTTCCGTTGACCCCTTGTTAACATTGCATATGGCATGCACCTTTTCTATAGCTTGTATTGTACTTTTCAGTTCATCTTTATTAAGAACTCTATCGGTAAGAGGTCTTTTTTTCGCCGGAGTATCCACCACGGAAGCTGCATAGGCCAACAAGAAAATATATTTTGATTTATGTTCCGGATTAATTTTCACTCCCGCTTTGAAGAGAGAATCAACCAATAATTCTAAAAATTGTGGATTTCTTATAAGATCAATTGGCGGCGGGTCTGCCCCAGAATAGTTGCGATAAAGTACAGTTATATCAGCTGGATTCAGTGTGTTACGCGACAACATGGAAGACAATGCCTGACAGGCCTGGGGATATGCTGCCGAACCATTTAAGGCCATGGTTATGGGTGTGACATTTTGATTGCTGTAAAAATAGAGGGGAACATGAAGAATATCATACTGGAAGTGTATTGAAGTGGGGGTTCACTTACTTTTGCAAGGCATATTTAGTAATCTCCTGAGAAAGACGTTTCATATTGAAGCCACCCTTGGTTTCCTGACTCAAAACCTGTATCAACACCTGCGAATAGACATAGGTATGCTGGCCATGACACACCATACGAGCACACTCCTGTATTGCTCCCTGGATATCTTCTGGGTTACTAAGAAACTTCGTTATGGAGGTCTTCAGGACCCGTGAGAACACCTCGATCTGTTGTGCTGCCGTTGATATGGAAGTAATTTCGCTTTGGAAACCAGCATCCGAAATTAACTTAATTGTAAAATTTAACATCAAACAATCGGGATACTCTTCGGCCAAGCGATATATCAACGAACGCCATGTGGGATGATCAATCATTTCTGTTAACCAATCTGGTGTCTCACCCTCCTCCGTGAAAATCGTATCAGCCTTTTTAGGGTCGAATGTCTTCAAAATCATATCCTTTAAATGGTTTTCCACCATTGCCTGAACATCGGTCACCTTAACACCGGCCAAAATCAACCACTCAGCCAACAAGTTGGCCATTTGCGCCACCGCCTTATAATTCTCCGATAGCATCATGATGACTTCCTCTGGTGAACCACCTGATTGGAAGTATCTTTTCAACTGGGTAAATATACCCGGTTCCATAATGTAATCCGGTGTCAGAAACTTTTCCAAACATTCTTGTATAGTTTCCTGGGGATTATCTTCAGGCATTTCCTACGGAAAAAAGTGAAATTCAATTTTTATTTGTTTTCCTTAGTTTTATCACAACAAAACACCGCCACTGCCGCCACTCACCTCATCTTCTCCCTTCGGCCTGCCCTGCTGCCAACCACTTTCATCGTATTCCATTTCCATGTTGTAAATGCACTTTTGTTTTATGTATTTTAGTAATTTTTTATTGAAATTTTAGTGAATTAATACAAATTTTAATTCATTTATGGAAAGATCAAAGATTTCTATTCTCTTCTTTGGCTTTTTCTCTGTTTTGTTGTTTTGCCACATTCTACAATGATTGTGTTATCAACTGTTTGGGTAATTGAGTAATTGGTAATCATGTACGTTTGTATAGTGAAGTGGCTTGGCCACATATCGAATTATTTGGCGGTGGTTGTTTCAAGCATATTTTTTATTATTTTAATACATTAAAAACAACTCTATTAAATTTGCTGTTGAAGGATTTAATTATGAATTAATTGCTATATCACTTAATATTTCGATTTGTTAAATATTCGATGCTAAACCGTGATAATTTCAAAAGCAGCTCTACTTTTGCAACAAAAAAATATCGTTTCACATTCAAATTTTCTTTACAATGTATTAATATTTAGATAGGCAATTTCAGATGCCCAAAAAATTAATTTTGTTTGAATATTTAGACTGAATCTTGGTTTTTTTAAGTTACTTAATCTTCGAACCAAATCGAATAATCCCTCTCCATTATATTGATCTAAGTTTTTATACCCTTCACCACACTGTGGTACAGGTTATTATGCCTTTGTGCATATGTTTGTAACAGGCAAAAATAATCGAGATAGAATATGCATAGAATCACTTTCTAAGTCGATTTATGCATGTCCGTCTGACCATTTTAAATTGTTAACAAAGTACAGTACACTTTTGTGATCCGAATTGGATTAAATTTGGCTTAGGTCACTTATTTGGGCCAAGGGCGAACCCTATTGAAATTGGGAAAAATCGGTTCAGCTTTATATATAGCTCCCATATATAGTTTCGCCCGAGTTTAGGCAAATAGTCCACTAAAGTCCCTGGAAATCTTTTGATTTGCACGAATTTTGGCATAGGGTACTGAATTAAGTCTGATGTGTGCAAAGTTTCATGAAAATCGGTTTGGTATATCTAAATCCAAACCGATTTTCATGAAACTCCCATATATATTTTCATCCGATTTAAGATAATTGGTGCACCAAAGTCCCTATATATCTTTCGATTTGCACGAAAATTAGCATAGCGTACTGAATTGCCTCTATAATAATGTGTGCTAAGTTTTATGAAAATCGGTTCAGATTAAGATATAGCTCCCATATAAAGTTTCGCCCGATTTTAGGTAAATGGTGCATCACAGTTCCTGGAAATCTTTTTATTTGCGCTAATTTTGGCATATCGTACTGAATTAAGTCTAGAATAATGTGTGCAAAGTTTCGTTAAAATCGGTTCAGATTTAGATATAGCTCCCATATATATTTTCATCCGCTTTTAGGTATTTGGTGAAATTTGTCATAGCGTACTGAAGTAAGTCTAGAATGACGTGTGCTAAGTTTTGTGAAAATCGGTTCAGATTTAGATATAGTTCCCATTTATATTTTCGTCCGATTTTATGTAATTGGTGCACCAAAGTCCCTATATATCTTTCAATTTGCACGAATTTTGGTATAGGGTACTGAATTAAGTCTAGAATGATGTTGCTAAGCTTCGTGAAAAGATCCATAGCTAGGCCTATTGACACAACGTACTGAAGTAATATAAATTAATCTCTAGCAAGTTTCCCTGAAATCGGTTCAGATGTAGATATATAACAAAAACGCGACGTCTGTTAGGATACATATGTAGAGTATACCCAAAGTGGTGAAGGGTATCATATAGTCGGTCCAGTCCGACTTTGCTACTTTCCTTACTGGTTTAAAAGTGGCTTTATCATAGAACATTATTTTGATTTGGTAAAA